TATTTACTTGTTGACATCAACAGCAAAGCTTTGATTATGTTTTACATTAACATGGCCTTGAAATGTAACACATATTACCATATTACAATGCAGTTGAAATTAAAACTTTATGCTTTCTCAAAGTTCTTTATAGAGCTCTCTTATTTCTAAGCTGATTTTTCAGCCTGTTTACATTCTGAGGCTAAATGGAAATAACATTGCAAGTATATTCTACTAAGATTTTAGCACAAAAGCATTTTTTAAAGTAGAAAGGAAAAAAAAACCACACAACCGGAAAATAGTTAACATGAAATAATCTGAGGTCATTTTCCACTTACATCATCCATTTCTATATTTCACATAAATGGTTTTTTGCTATGTTTAATGTGTTAACATGCCTTAATGTCTTAATCCCTTGAGTCACAAGATTTAAAACAGGTATTCAGAATTGTTTTTATTAACTTCCACTACACTATGCATTTAAACACTAAGTAGCTGCTTAACTTGAAGTTTCCTCAACTGACAGAAATATTTATACAAGAAACAGACATCACAACACTCATCACAGTTTGTTTTCATACACAAACACAACTGTGGCTCTCATTTCTATAACAAACTCCATTTAGCTTTGCAGACTATTGGCAATGACAGTGAATCTCTGTTTCAGCTTCTCCCTTTTCTGCTTTAAGTGCTTTTCTATGGCCCTGGCTTCTTTTAGGATCTCATCAAGTTCCTGGACATAAGAAGAATCCAATGCTATTCTTTCACTAAAGTGAAGAAATCTGTGGTTAAAATCAATGCTTATGCCATTCACCTTCTCACTACTTTTATGTTTTTCTTAAAAATGGGTTGTCTACCAATACCCAGTTTCTGACCCAATTAATCCTCTGCTGTAATAAAAACCACCATTTTTCTTTCAAGATCTGTTTGACAGTTTTCAGTGTTAATTTCCCTGAACTGCAGCCACCCATCCATCTTATCTGGAGAATTTTAAAATTGCTGTGCAAATAGCACAAAAGTTAACTTGCCTTATAGTGTCAGCATATTTTGATAACAAGTCATTAATTTCTTTGCTGATCTCTGTTAAGAGAGAAAAAGATAATTTTATTTAAACATTTGGCTGAATCTCAAGATGAAATTAGGCCATTCCATACTCACTTCCAGTATATTTACTACATCACCATTTAAAACCTTTTCCTGTGCTTCAGTCTTGAAAAGGGACTGCGAGTCCTCAGAAGGAGCCAAATCTGTTTTGTCAGACAGCGGAGGATTTTCTGAAGCTTCATTCTAACAACAGAGCACATTAGGAAAAATACAGTTCTGAGAAAATACCTTTGCATGGAGTTTAGCTGAGAGAAAGAAGAGGCTTCAAAAGACCTTGAGGGTGTTTTTGGAGAAAATGCAAGTGGGTTAACAGTATCATGAGCATCTTGGGGAGTGGGTGGAACTACCAGACTGAGATCTCTGTGGATATGTACATTTATTTATATATATACATGTATTTATATCTATATACTGATATATGCAGTATATATATATATATCTCAGTAAAATCTGGTGCACTTCAGAAGCTTGCTCTCAAGAAGTTCTACATAAATATGTCCCAGTGCTTACCCAATTTTTTTGGGCTTCAAGCCCTCAGAGAAACTGAGGTTTCCCCACAAAAAAAAAGTAATTTCTGTTCCCCTAAACCTCCCTAAAATGCCGTGGATCTCTGTTCCTTCAACCCAGAGGAGGACATGGGATGGGGGGTCCTCCCTCACGCAGCACCACTCACCTCCATATTTTTGCTTTTATTTCTGTTTTTATCTGCTTTTTGCGAGTTGCTCGCCATGGCTGCCTCACGGAAAGCACCACCAGGTGTTTGCTGAGCGGTCGCGCTGGGGAGAATGTTTAAATAAAAGCCTGTAAAACCTGCAGCCTCTGCAGGGGCGCTCCCCTCACGGGGGAGGCAGCGCCTCAAAGGGCTGGAGAAGGCGGGGGAATGGCGGGGAGTCCCAAGCCGGCCTAAAGTCGATATCCGAGGGGATTTAATTCGCTATCAGAGGGGATTTAAACCTTTCTGATCTCCCCCAGAGCCTGAGGGCACCGAGGCGGCCAGGACGCCGCGGCCCCGCCGCTTTCCCAGGCGGGCCGGCGGGCAATGGCCGTGAGGGGCCGCGACTGTGAGGACGAGGGAAAAGGGACAAGGCACGAGAAACAAGGGACGAAAAAACAAGGGACACAAGGGACAGGACACAAGGGACGAGGCACTAGGGACACTCGCTCCCCTCAGGGCTGGCAGCACCCCTGGTGCCAGCCTCGGTGGCAGCGGCAGGAGCGGCCCGAGGCGATCCCTCAGGGCCCGGGCAGCGGCTCCGGCCCGGGCCGTTCTATCAAAGCTTTGAACAGTTCCTCAAACCTTTCCTGCCAAATTTCACCTTCGAAACGAAATCCGAAGGATCTGCCGCCGGGCCGTTCTATCAATGAAAGCTTTGAACAGTTCCTCAAACCTTTCCTGCCAAATTTCACCTTCGAAACGAAATCCGAAGGATCTGCCTCAAAAAAACGAGCCAGAAATGAGCGTAAATGGAGAGACCAGGCACTAGCACTGAGTAAAAACGCTAAATGAGTAACAGCACTAAGATGAGTAACGGCACTAAAATGAGTAAAAACACTAAAACGCATAAAACCACTAAAATGAGTAACACTTAAATGAGTAACACTAAAATGAGTTACACCACTGTAACACAGGGCTGCCAAGACCGTATTTTCTCTCTCTTGCTGATGAGTGGAGAATAAAACTGCATATTTCCCAAGGCTGTGTTTCACCACTGTAGGTGAATCGTGCCTTTGTTCACTACAGTGAAATCAATTATTGCAAGATGGGAATTTATGATAATGTTGTGCTATATCATACGATTTAGATGATGATACATTATTTAAGTTGTGGTATGTAATGTTATGTAAAGTTTGACTTGGGGTTTTTTTCCTTTTTTCTTTCTTTTCTTTTCTTTTTTTTTTTCTATTTTCTGTTTTATAGAGAGGAAAGGACCTCAATCCCACGTACATCATTCACAGAGGAAATTAAAATATCAGCATGAGAAATCAAACTCCTGAAGGAACAAGAACTAAATACTTTCTCAAAGTAGAAATAACTTTTAATAAGCGACCATAGCCCACTTCATTTAATTATCAGATATCTCATAGATAATTATGTTATTAGCATTACTATCAAGACATTAAGAAACAGATATGACAGAACATGTTAGGGAAATATTCTTGAGATATTTACTTAATTGTGTCATGGTAATACTTTTGTTAACAGACGATCTGGAGTAAAACAAATTAAACCTCTGAATTTTCATTTCCATTTTCTTATGGATATGGTAGTCTATAAATAAAACTCAGACTGAAAGTAAAACATTAAAACACTTAAAAGAAAATTGTCTAAGGGGAGAGAGTTCACTCTTACTGGAGTTCCAGTTCCTTTAAAACTGGAGCAAAATTATATAAGCCATTACTCTAAAAGTAGTTGCAGTTCCTCTAAGATTGGAGATATTAAATTCCAGGAGAAATGAAAAGTCTAAACTGTACCACAAAAACCATTGTACGAGTTAGATCTGGTCCTGAAAAAATGCAAATATGTGCATAAAGGATAAGGAAATGCTTTTTATTCAGGGTGTTCAGTGAACTAATTAAATTTTAAGGCTCTCAAAGGCTGACAAGAAAGACCAAGTCCTCCTTGCATGGAATACCAACTGGCCAAAAATATTAGTGCCAACAGCTAATACAAAGTAAAAAAAAAAAAATTATCTGAATGTATATTTAAACTTAAATGATAAATTACTAACACAGTGTTAATTTTTGAAAAATGTTTTTGGTTAAACCAGCCAAAATCCAGGGTTATTAGTAAAGAGGCAGGGGTTTAGTGTTAGTGTTAGTGTTAGTGTTGGTGTTAGTGTTAGTGTTAGTGTTAGTGTTGGTGTTAGTGTTAGTGTTAGTGTTAGTGTTAGTGTTAATGTTAGTATTAGTGTTAGTGTTAGTAAAGAGCCGCTCCTGCTCTCAGGGCTCCGCGGAGGTTCCTCCGCCCACGCCAGCATTCCCGGGCGCCGCTGCCAGCGGCAGCGGGGACCAGCAGCGCGGAGATTCCATCCCAAAGCGGCTGTTCCCGCAGGGAGCCGGCATGGAAGCCGGGCTGCCACGGGCAGCACCTACCCCAGAGCTGCTGGAGCAGCTGACATCAGCGCGACACCGAGCGAGCGGGACAAAGCCACCCTCGGAACCCCAGATTTGCATAAGGCGCTGGCTCCTGCAGCGAGGAGGGGAAATGCCGTGCGAGAAATGCGGACGTAGGCACAAACCTTGGGAAAACGTCCCGATTTCGGCCGCCCCAGCCGCTATAAAACCCCTCCCGGCAGCGTTAAGGCAGCGCTGGCTTCCCTCCGGCTGGGGCATCCCCGGTGGCAGCGGGGACCTGACCCGGGGTGGCCTTGGCACAGCGCCGATCCTGAGCCCGGCAGCTCCGCTCTCATCGCCCGGCTGCAGCTCCCGGGGAGCCAGGAAGGAGCACCGAGGAGCCAGAAAAGAGCACCGAGGAGCCAGAAAGGAGCACCGAGCGGGGACCAGCAGCGCGGAGATTCCATCCCAAAGCGGCTGTTCCCGCAGGGAGCCGGCATGGAAGCCGGGCTGCCACGGGCAGCACCTACCCCAGAGCTGCTGGAGCAGCTGACATCAGCGCGACACCGAGCGAGCGGGACAAAGCCACCCTCGGAACCCCAGATTTGCATAAGGCGCTGGCTCCTGCAGCGAGGAGGGGAAATGCCGTGCGAGAAATGCGGACGTAGGCACAAACCTTGGGAAAACGTCCCGATTTCGGCCGCCCCAGCCGCTATAAAACCCCTCCCGGCAGCGTTAAGGCAGCGCTGGCTTCCCTCCGGCTGGGGCATCCCCGGTGGCAGCGGGGACCTGACCCGGGGTGGCCTTGGCACAGCGCCGATCCTGAGCCCGGCAGCTCCGCTGCTGCGCCTGCCGCGGCTCCCATCGCCCGGCTGCAGCTCCCGGCGAGCCAGGAAGGAGCACCGAGGAGCCAGAAAAGAGCACCGAGGAGCCAGAAAAGAGCACCGAGGAGCCAAAAAGGAGCACCGAGGAGCCAGAAAGGAGCACCGAGGGGCCAGCAAGGACCCCCGAGAGCCACCTCCGCTCCCAGCCCGGAGCCCGCGCTTGCCCCGCTCCCTCCGGCGGCCGCCTCTGCTCCCGGCCGCATCCCTGCAGTTTCTCGGGGTGAGTCATTGCAGGCCGAGTCAGGAGCTCCTTTGAGCTTCTGCGTTCCTTTCAAACGGCAGAAGCTCTAAAAGCGGTCCTCGGTAAAAGGTCTAGATAGCCATCTTTTGCTACTCAAGGTTGGGCTTGATGATCCTGGAGGTCTTTTCCAACCTTGTTGATTCTGTGATCAAGGGAAGAAGCACAGTCATTTTGTTCTACCCATTAAACCAAGGGCCACTTTTTCCTTTAGTCCTGTGTCAAAAGTTCTGCCTCTGCTTGCCCCTGGGCTTTGGAGTAAGAGAGAGCTTTGAGATTTATGTGCTAAGAGTGAGATGTGCAGGGCTGGGTGTTGTGGCATCTCGTTTCCAAGGCGTGGATGTGCATGTTTGCAAACAGAGATGCTGCTGGGAGCTTGCTGTCTCTTCTGTGCAGCTACAACTTCATTAAAAACATGAAATACAAAGAGAAAAAAATCACTCAAATACATTCCTTGAAGTGCGTTGTTACAGGGACAAAGAAAACCACGGTGATTCCCACCCTAATCCCTCTGGGTGTGCGTGTTTACTTATGTTTATATTGCTCACTTTTTATATAAAAGGTTATTTTCAGCTGGTGAGAAAGCTTTGGAGCGAGCTGGGTATTTTGATTGCACAATCAAATCCCCATGCAAGAGCCAGATCTCCCCATTGTTCACCTGGTTTTAAGACATTTAATATCTTTAGTGTAAGGGATGACCTTTCTAGGAGCAGTCAGAATGGGCTGTAACTTTTGGGTATTTTGGAAGCTCATGCTTTTCTAGGGGGAACCTCATAAGATCAGTGTGTGCAGGCTTAGCTTTTATCCCTTTATGGGGTAAGAAGCATCGAGCTTAACTCTGATTCCTCTCCCTGTGCTGTGGGCAGGGTGAAGATGAGTGCTGAAGAGATTCTGGTGCGTGCAGTAGAACTTGGACAAAATTTCTGCCTCTATTTTGACGGTAATTAGAGCATTTAATAACCTTTTCTGATTGAATACCGATTTAACACAATTCCTTTGTCGGCCTGATTTCACCTAACTTCCCCCACAAACTTCAGTTTTAAGTGTTGTTAGCCAAGTAGCTGAGTCAGAGGAATACTTGTTGCTTGTACAAAAAATCCTGGGAAAGGACACTCAGAAGCTTTGGAATACTGGGAGTGGACTTGGAGTGGGCGAGTAATGGAAAAGTCAGTTAGAAAACAGTTTCTTGTTTAAAGGCAATTTGTAGTGAGTTCTTCTTGTCCTTTTGCTCACTTGAAGGCACTGCTCAAAACCAAAAATTTGCATGCAATTATTCCTCAGTTTTAGGCTTAGAATGACCTTCTCACCTTTAAATAACCCTAAAAAGGCATTTTGCATACCTAGGTTTGGTGGTGACTCCAGTTCTCAAATGACTGGGTTTTCATTTGTTTTGCTCTGTAGTGACAGCAGCTCAGCCTTGGTGGCACGGGGCTGTGGGAACTCGTGGGTGGCTGCCTGGGCACAAAGTGACTCCTTTTGCGTGGGCAGAGCTTAATGTTGTTTTTCTTTCCTTTTTTTCACTGCTCACTTGGAACCAAGACGACGATGGTAAGCTGAGAACTCGTCTTTCATGATTTTGTTACTCATTTCATACCTGCTAATCCAGAGAGGACAGGTTTCACACTGAGAGTGGCTGCAAAAAGAACAGAGCTACAGCTCACTGCTACTTGTGATGCTGATGCTGCTTTAATTCCTCTCAGGACACAGGGTTGTGGCTTCCCTGACAGCACCTTTCAATGCACTTTAATTCTTGGGCAAAAGAGAACTGATGCTTCTGAGTTCTCATTAACAAACACAGCAGCTTTTCTTCCTTGTATACATAAATTTCTGTTATAAATAAACTTCTGCTTATAGAAATAAATTTCAGATTCTGGGAAATCTGCTTCAAGCAGAGGTGTAAAAGATGATGTGTTTGATATCATTCTGAGAACTCCTTTCATGTGCCATCCATAATGCCAGGACTAAGCTGGCAGCAAGCTGTCAGGATCTGAGGAGACAACAGCTAAAACATGAAGAATTTTGCTTTATTTTTCCTGCAGAGCTGGAGTGTGATGCCCTGTGCAAGGACAAGACCCTGCACCGAGTGCTGAGGAACGTGAACAGCCAGCTGCTGGTGGTGCGCCCCGACCTGAACGTGGCAGCCTTTGAGAATGTGACAGACAGGGAGATGCAGTCTGGTAATTTCCAAACAGACAGAAACCATCACCACCTTGATCCTGAACGTGGTTTTGTTCCTTGTAATAAAAGCCCAGTGGTGGGATTGAGAATAATGACTTGAAACTTCATTTCAGAGAAGGAAACTAAGCTGAGAGTGAAATTTTGTGTCTTGGCATTGGTGATGGATGAGATTTCTGGGTTAGACCAAAGCCTGCAGGATGTCACATGCAGGAAAAGTGCTGTTAAGATTTTTGCTTGGCTCTGATCACAAAATTCATAATTCCCCCCTTTTTCTTATGCTGGATTACAAAAAAATCACTTTAAAATTCAAACAATGTATTGGCACTAAAATGTCCTACTTCCTTCTAATAATATTAGCTATAAACTCACTGTTTTGGCTTTGACTTTTTGAGGTGTTTCAGCAATTTATTTACAACTCTATTTATTGCCCATATTTATTTCTGGATCATCCTGTATCCAGCCATGCTCTCATTTACAGATAGCCACTTCCACATGCCAATCTCAGTTCCTGCATGCTCCCAAAAGGGTCTGACCCCTCCCCACACTGCCTGGTGACCTTGCTGCACCCTGGTTATTGCCTGATTGAATAAAGCACAACCAGAAGCCATAAAAATTCAAGTCCTGGCTCTTCTGTCAGGAAAGATATCGTGGTGAGACAGCCAGAGCTGCCAGGGGAATGGTAAAACATCACTGACTGCAGTTGTGCTGCTCCCTTGGAGCAGGTTTTCAACAATAACCCATTTATTTCCAGGCAAAGGGATGCATTTCAGCATTCACTGCTACAAAACCACCACACCCTTAGCTGGGTTGCCCGTGGCCTTCAGTGTGGAAGTGGAAAACAAGAATTACTACATGTGTTGTGAGAGGGAATGTGGAGAAATGATCGTTAGGTTCAAGGTAAGGGTCTGCTTCCCTCTCCTCATCTGTACAAATCCAACAGGCACAATTAACCACTCAGAGCTGGAATAAAGCTGGTCAGGGCTCGTGCTGGGATTAACCTGCTCCCTTTTTCCTTCCTCAGGAGGGAGAAGTTCCCAAAGAAATTCCTGGTGAAAGCAACATCATCTTTTTCCAAAAGACATTTACATCTTGCTCCTCCACGGCATTTAAGTTTGAATACTCAATGGAACGAGGAATGTTCTTGGCCTTTGAGGAAGAAGGCTGCTTGAGAAAATTAATCCTTAAGAAACTGTCAAAAGATGAAGTGGATGAAACCATGAAGATGAGTTTATGTACGTTCAGTCAGAATAAAAATCACAACCTATGATGGAACACTTCAACAGTTTTAAAATACACTTTGGTTTTTTTGTTTTGTTTTTTTTTTTTTTAATAAGAGAAACTTTAGTCTGTCTTTACCCAAAAGTAATCAGTTTAATGTTTTAACCACTGTCAGTACTTATTAAAAAAATAAATGCAAGTTTTTGGCAAAAGGCCAAGCATGTTTCCCAGTCAGACAGAATTACACACTGAAGAAACAAGACTGTGTATGTCAATATAGTCCTGCAGAATCTGATCCCTAAAATCTTTAATGCCTGTTGACCCAACAGCTTTTGAATCAGGTTTGGACTTTTCCATTGCCAAACCTCTCAGATGATGAATTTCTCACCCCAGCAGCTTAAACACATCCAGCTGCATCCTGTGTGAGGAAACCTCAGACACTTTCCATGAGAGACCCTCATCCTGCCCACAGGGACTTACCCATGACTCACCATCTGCACGCTCCTCCTCCTCCTGGGACAAAAACAACACGTGCTGCCATTTAAACCACACCACAGCACCATAAAAACTGGCCAGCCACCTGCTTTTGCTAATAAATAAAACTCCCAATCCACATTAAAAAGAAAAATCAGAAAGTCTTGTAGAATCCAAACAGTGACTTGGTGGTTCTGTTCATTGCAGAGTCACTGATGGTAACTCAAATTCTCTTCCTCTCACTACTAATAGTGCCACAAAAGTACCATGGGAGTGTGGAAAGAGTTTTCTACTCCTTGGCAATGTGAAAGTCAGACAGGATTAAGCAGGAAGTTAAAAACCACAATCTCAGTTCCCCCCTAAAAAAATCCCTTAAAAAACAGAACATTCCCTCAGCCTCCTCTTCGTTGTCTTTTCTGTCACACAGGGCAACACAGACCAGAGTATTTAGAAAATAAACCTCAAGAAAGTGTTGCAGATGAACATAAAAACCTTGAAAGTTGAGTGTTCCTAAAGCAAATCTGAAAAGTATTTTTATTCTATGCCAATCCTTGTTGTGTTTTCTAAGGGACATTAATTATCCTTGTGTTAAGTCAAGTCTAAGTCTCCCCTAAGTATTAATTCATACAAATATTCTTCATTTTATGAAGTAAGGCAGAGCAGACCTATCTACAGAGAAAACATTTTAGGTAACCCAAAAGCAGTAAAAATGGTTCAGAAGCACACACAAAATTTCTGTAAATTCTTTATTGCATGGATTAAGAAAAAAGTATTCCCTTTTCTACATCAGCTCCCAGGGTCCAAAGAGTTACAGGGTCTGCCTTACACACTGATGTCAGAAGAAGCAGTTCAGTTTTTCACAAGCCAACCTTGTTTTACAGAACAGGAAACCAACCAACAGTTACAAAAACACTCATTAAAGCTGGTATTACAAGGAGAGTTCCCTTTAGCTATGCAGGTCTGCCTCTGGTGTAACTCATTCATCCCAATTTACAGCGCAGCTTGAATCCACTCGCCCTCACTGGACATTTTCCAGCTCAATCTGCATTTAAACCTGCTTTTTCTCTATATATTCTAATCTAGCTCTGAGCCCCCTGCAGGCTCACTGGGGACCCTTGGCTGTTCCTTTGTGGTGCAGGATGTTGCTCACAAGCTGATGAAGCAGAGGACAATCGTGTGTGTCGGGGCTGGGGCTCCTCAGAGGCTCCAGAGCATGGCCACAGCCTTGCAGATGCCCACGTCGTGGTAGTTGAAGTGGCAGAGGCCAGCGAAGGTCAGGGCAGACAGGATGTACAGCCCCGTGTTGGCCACTTTAATGGGGACATCTCCGTGCACATAATCAGTGATTACCTGGCCCAGACCCCTAAACAAGAGAGAAAAGCTCAAATCAGCAAAGCTCACTCACTGAAATCCATCCCTTTGTGCCCCCGTTCTGCCAACTCGCTTTTTTCCCCCTGCTGCCATCAGCCTATCCTGAAGAATGCTCAGTTACCACACAGAAAGAGGAAGAACCTGTTTCAAAACCAAAACAAAACCTTCCAGATTCTATTGAAAATACACAGATTGGCTCAGAGTTTTCTTGAGGAAAACAACTGCTGACCACACCTCTCCAAACCGAATCCTTGGAATCTGCCTTCTTATCTGACTTCCAAGGACTGGAAAAGAGGAAAACCAAGGAAATATCTGGGACCAGCCATTGTAACAAAGACACAGAAGACTCTTGGGTACTCATTTAGATTAGAAGAGTGACAACCAAAGAAATTAGCACGTTTTCAATTTTTTCAACATCTGGAAGAGAACTCCTGTCCAGATTTGAACTATCCAGCAACACGAAACACGGGATGCTTGTTTTGGGAAAAAGCTCCCAGTCAGAGCAAGAAAAGTGCAAGAATCCCTGGCACAAATTCCTAAGGGCAAAACTGAGGTTTAAGAAAACCTGACACCCCCCAAGTACCACAGAAATCTGCTTGATCCTTGTGGCAAGGAACTCCCAAACCAGGATCACCTCAGGAAGGCGGATGCTGCCAGCCTGGCCAACCATGCAGCTGGATCCACTCCTAATTAGCCCTGTCCCTGCTCTCATTAAGGATCACAGCAGAACTACACTGAGCAAACATCCATCCAGGAATAAAGGAAATAATCATCCAGGTCTCCTTAGTGGAATATTTGCTGAGAGCTCTTTACTATGCAGAACCTCATCACCACTGAGATGTACAAAGCCAATGCACGGAGCTTTAGAGGCAGAATAATTTTATATTATTTTTATACAGATCTGTTCCTTCTGTTTATGAAACACTGGCTCTTCCACGGGCTAAAAACATCCAGGATTCTACACTTCCAGCAGCAAGGAAGTGCTCTTAAGACACTACAGAGATTTTATGGATTCTTTTTCTGACTGAGAGAACAGAGAGAGAAAGGAAGACTGAAGTACGACCGCTCCTGCCACCGAACGTGGAGACCAAGGACTTTTTCCAGCTGTTTTACACTAGACCAGGATGAGGTCTGGAGGCACCCCACGTGCTTTGCTGTGAGCTGAGCCCTGCTGTGCTTACCAGTGGCCGTGCAGGGTGAGGGCTGCAGCCAGGGAATAGTCCACGGCCGGTCCAGGGCACAGGTAGGCTGCGGGGAGCAGCCCCAGCAGCAGCACACTGACCGCTCGCTCCCCTGTCCAGTGCAGAGATGCAGCCTTGGAACCGCCTGCAAGGAGAGACATTCTCAGGGAAAAGCCCCTCTGCCAAGGGCTGGAGGGATGGCTTTGGAAGCTGGAGAGTTTGCAAACCAAAACCCTGCATGAGCAGTGCTTGGGAGCACAACGGGAGCATCAGCCCAGGCTGAGACCATCAAGAACTGACCCTGTGAAATTATCAACGCAACGCCCCCGAAGTGCTCAACTAACACACAGATATCCATCCACCTCAACCAAAACACAAATGTTTTCCTTCGTTTTGGCACGGAGAAAAGAAATTTAGAAAGTGACAAGATAAGGAAAGGAAAGGATCTGAAGTTTGGACTTGGGCAAAGTGCAAACTGAAGTGCTATTAACTGGTAGAAATGCTGCTGAAGGTCAGGGTACACACACTCCTCACAGGCTGAGGCACCACAACTGCACCATCATTTATCACAAATAACATCTCTGCACAGTCACTGCCCTGTCTGACAACGCTCAGCATTTCACAGCTTTTCCCTTAAATCAGTGGGCATTCAGGATTATTTTTTCCTTTGCTGGTAACACCCATAACCACACATCACCCAACAAGACACCAAGAAAACCACTGCACCACATGTGAATCTCTTCTGCTCTTTGTTACAGCTGCCACTTAAACCCTCCTATAGTGACCCAAAAAAAATTATAGACTCAGCCTGGTTTGGGATGGGAGGGACCTTAAAGCTCATCTTGTTTTTAAGTCCCTGTGTGGCCATCAGGTACCACCTGTCACCTCTGTCCTTTATCCCTGCACTGCTGTTGGTGCCTTGAAGCACTAAGCCAAAATCTGCTCCTATACAGCCCATTGTTGACAGAATCACAGAATATTCAGAAGTTGGAATAGACCTGAAGGATCACCTAACCCCAACGCCTGCCATGGGCAGGATGCCTTGAGCTAGACCCGGGCGCTCGGGTTCAGCAGCTCCAGGGATGGGAAAAGGGTCCTGATCCCGGGAAAACGAGAGTCCCGCCCACAAACACGGCCAGACAGACAGACAGACAGACAGACACAGAAGGGCCGTACCGTGTCCCTGGCGGGGCGGGCCGTGGCTGTCGCGGGCCGGAGCGCAGCGGGCGGCGGCGGCACCGAGCGCGGCGGGGCGGCGGAGCAGGGCCGAGCCGAGCAGAGCTGCGGGACAACGGGGGCGCGGCGTGAGAACCCCGCGCTCTCCGGGTCCATGAGCCACCGTGGTCCCGCATCATCCGAAGGTCCCGCACCCTCCGGAACCTCGCACCCCCCGGGGTCCCGCAACATCCAAGGGTCCCGCACCCTCCGAGGTCCCGGAGCCACCAGGATCCCGCACTCTCCGGGGTCCATGAGCCACCAGAGTCCCGCACGATCCGAGGGTCCCGCACCCTATGGGGTCGCGGAGCCGCCAGGGTCCCGCACTCTCCGGGATTCCGCACCATCCGAGGACCCCGCACCCTCCGGGATCCCGCACCCTCGGGGGTCCCGCACCCTCCGGAACCCCGTACCCCCCGGGGTCCCGCACCCCCCGGAGTCCCGCACTCTCCGGGGCCCCGCACCCCCCGGGGTCCCGCACTCTCCGCGGTCCCGCTCCCCCGGGGCCGCGCTCACCCAGGGCGGCCCCGCGGGGCCGCGGCCGCAGCAGCGCCAGCGCCATGTCCGCTCCAAGGGCACCGCGCCCGGACACGGAAACGCTCCCGAGCTTCCGCCGCCGCTTCCGCCTCCGGGGCAGCGGCCCCGCCCGGCCCGGAGCGGCCGCCGAGCTCCGCAGGGCAGCGGTGAGCCGCCAGAGAGCGGCGGATGGGGTTCAGGGAAGGAATCCTCCGCTGTGAGGGTGGGCAGGCCCTGGCACGGCTGCCCCATCCCTGGAAGCGCCCAAGGCCAGGCTGGAGCATCCTGGTGG